GGTTGTGTTGCGGCTTGAATAATGCTGCCGAAGAACTGGGTGCGTCACACCAAAACCGGCCTTATATAGGGTGCGCGGACGCCCTAATCGGCATTAAATAGGGACTATGCCTGTTGAAGGCCTGTGCGGCCTTAAAAAGGAAGGCAAGTGTGACAGACGATTTCACCGGCCGTAAAAAGGGCCACCGGCCTTAAATTTGCGGCCTTAAACAGGGACCTCTACTGTTGTACCACATCAGTACCATATGCACGCCGGAGAGGTCAATTTTTGAACTGCTGTACTGCTGTGTACTTCACATGTTACGTACTCGATTTTTGAGGACTCAGATCGAGGCTGCCATCCTTGACTTTCTATCAGTATGACCTGCTAGATAAAGTTTTCCGACTCCCGGTAGCGATGGAAAGCACGATCATGACGTTCTTTGCCTCATCAGCACGATGGCAATGGTTCCTTGCCTCCACTTGCTGTGTTGTTTCTTCACGGGACTGTCTGGGGCGACGTGAATAAAAGAAATCCCCATATCAAACACGACCGCCATCCAGCGGGCCCCTGTAGTTAGTCCGCATCGACCACCGCTTAGCTCGCGCTAGCCCCCCCCGCCCTCACAGCAGTGGATTGACTCTGATTGATCTACAGTAAGCTCTCTCGCACAGACCAACTTATATCTGCAGCCAACAACATGGCCGCGCGATCTCCCCTCCAGTGTTCTACAGGCCCCGAATGGTCTTCACAGGGCAGCGAAGACTGGGTTCACCCACATGTGAGTATTTCCAGGCCCTGGTTGCAAGCGGGATTGATATCAATGGGGGCGATCCGAACGGCTTCACCTCTCTCATGATCGCCGTAGTACACGGTCTCTCCCGCGTTGTCACACTTCTTCTAGACAAAGGTGCTGACGTGTCAAGAAAAGGTGGTACGGGCATCACTGCTCTTCATAGTTCCACTGCCTCCGGGAACCTGGCCATGACCGAGATGCTGATGACCGAGGGGCCAATCTCGAAGCGAGATACCAAAGCGCCACACCACTCCAACTGGCTATGGGAGGAGGGCACTTGGAGGTGATGAGAGCGATGGTCAAAGCAGGCGTGAACGTCGACAGACGTCACCAAAGCGGAGCGTCAGCACTGTCCGCCGCAGCGTCGGCCGGTCTACTGGACATCGTGGAGTTGCTCCTTGGTGCCAACGCGAACCCCTTTTTGACCACGCCCAATTCGTTGCCGGGAGGACCTCCACTCGTCGCTCTGGATGCGGCAGCAAGAGGCGGACACGCTGCGGTGGTACGTCGGATGGTTGGGCAGCTTGGGATTGAACGATGAGGCGGTGCCAACATCGGCGTGTCGGCCCTGTATTAGGCCGCCACGAACCAACGTATGGACGTCATGGCCATGTTAGTGGACGCCGGAGTGGTTGACAAAGGCTACGCACTGGTCGGTGCTGCCGCATGTGGTGCAGAAGCATTCGTGAAATTTCTCTTGCAACAATACGACAAGAAGAAGCACACTTCTGCCAGTAGCGGGGCTTAGGTTGACAGCATCTGCAACATTTCTGGCTCAAGTCCCTTACATTACGGTATGAGTTTTGGCAAGTTTTCCTCTGCCAGGATCGTGCGGATGCTGGTTGACACCGGCGGAGCAGATACGACATCGAGAGTTAGACTCAGAAGTTCGCTTGGGTCCAAGGTGATTGTCGACGCCACACCCCAGGCGTTGGTCGCCAGCTTCGTCCGCGAGAAGGAAGCTCAAGGAGGCGACGCCGCAGAGAAGCAGCTGTGCGAGCTTGAAGCGATCAGCCGCGTGCTGTTGAATGCAGAGGCAGCCCGTGCTTTGTCTTGGCGGTGGCCGAGCAACATCATCCCGTGCACATCCCGTGCACCAGCCACGCTGCAAGAGCCACGTCGATTCAGGCCAAGGTGACTTCGAGTACTGGAAAGCCGCTGGCCGGGTTGCCGCTGATTCTGAGGCGAAGGGCTGTTAGACATCGGGTGCTCTTGGCGGCCCTTTCCAGGTGGGTGGTGAGCAGCATCCTTGGAGCCTTGTGTGACGCCAGCTGCATGTGTGTGTTGGGTGCTGCATTCCAACGTACGTGTGCGTCGGGTGTTCGCTTTCTTTTCAGTCAGATAAATCGTCGGTGATAAATGGCTATTCCTGTGGTGGGCGCCGTTGCTAAATATCTTGGCTCTGTACTCGTGTTCAACACCTGCTACCAAGAAATGCCTGCTCGTTGTCATCATGTGGTGTGAACACCCCACTGACGTCGCGTCTTAGGCCTAAATCTACATACGGTCTTGTCTACCTTTCGTGCGTTGAACCGTACGCCCTTGCCTATCTGAGTTTTCTCGATCTCCCCCGTGGAAGTTACGGGGTAGTTATTTGTTGTGCATGTAGGTTGGGCGCCTGTTGTTGCTAGCACGCTCTTCCTGAGTAAGTAGTCTGTGTGGAACAGCCGAAGCCCAATCTCGCCGCAACCAACGACATGTTCCCGGGAAATCATACGTTGTTTCCCCACGTGCGAAAAAGGAGAGTCGACTTCTGTCTCGTCGGGAAGTCGATTTCGAAAACTTCTGGCCGATCGCCGATCTCCCGACCGTTGACGTTTAGCTCGCTGTCTCGCCATGCCCGCCAATATTTTCGCAGGTATTCGCGGAAGCCTTGACCGAAGGTTTGGCGCAATCAAGCGGTGTCGATGAGTGTTGTTGTCGCTCTTCTACTTGGTCGTTGATTTGCGGGCGGCTTTGTCTTTGGTGTACGTGTATCGTTGAGTGGTGCCATCGGAGACGTCTCATCGCACATTCACACATACATGATGCCGCGAGTCCATCCCGCACGTATGTAAGGGGCTCGGGCGGTGTGGCACCCCCAGCGGTTTTCTGTCTCCAACTTTTGAGGTCGCAGGAAACATTGACCAACTGCTGTGCTGTAGATGCCGCTGGTGATTGGGCAAGTGCAACAATCAGCTACCTACAGTACTCAAGCGCCATTGAATTTACCTTCTTTTGGTTTTGGAACAATTTTCGGTGGTCATGAATATCCCGGAGAGTACTCGTGACGATCATCATGCTGTTTCGCAACCCGATAAATCGAAACAATATCGAATGCTCGGAAACTTCATTTAAAACAGTCAAACTTGGGCCGACATTCGGACAGAAGGTTGCTACCGTTCCGGCACATTTCGGAACTCGTGGGAGTTAGCAACGCACGACATGCATGCCTGCCTGTGGCAGCAGCGACGAACAGCCTTGCATGCATCGAGTGATCGAGGCCGTCACTGACATCCATCGGATGTGGCCGGGGGGGCTAGTCCAACCCCCCGGTACTGCTGTATATAGCGGTCATACGCACGATACTGCTGCAGCGGCAGTGTCCTTGCATCGAAGCAGCATCTAAGTTGGGAGTTAGAACCCCGCCGGTCGACAACAGCGAAGCAGTTGGGGGCTTCCAAAATTGTTGTGCGCGTTAAACGCAGCTGAGCGTACGTAGGGCCTATCGTGAGAGAACCGCTAGACACTCAAACGGGTTCCGCAAAGCCGCCAGAGCATCAGGAACACCGCGCATGGAAAACAGAAGTTGTTTTGGTGCGGAGAAATTGCGTCACAAAATCGCTATGCCCTGCAGCATTGCGTGAACCATCAACATGAAAAAAATCAAAGTTTTGTGTCTGCGAAGGGGGTGGATCAGCGGCGTTCCAGAGATTGGAAAGGGGCTGCACGGTTTGACATAAAGCTCAACACGACGGGATCACCATGATTCCAGAGTAGACGCACCGACCGGTTGCAATCTCACGGCATCTTTTGAGATGTTTATTTCTCGTCAAAACGCCATATATTTCGGCTGTTTTTTACATACCCGACACTTGTTTTGCCAATTCACCAACGGCTCGCCCGCACCAAGCGACGAAAGAGTTTGTCGCTCCTCTGGAAACGACGGGCAAACGCACCGTATACAAATCACATCCGAGGCAAGCTTCACACGGAGCCAGGTCAGCCGGTACCAGGAAGAGCACACACTTGAATTGAGAACCAAAAGCAGCAGATTGCCTTGCCCAACCCGTTCTGCCAGAAGGGACTCAGAATCGAGCTGAACACCACCTGAACATGCAATCGCGGCCCAAAGCCCACCCACCCGGATCAGAGAGCGCGAAGCGTCAACTGTTGTAAATGAAAGCAAGCAGCCCTATGTATGCCCATCATAACTTTGAGACTACCATCGCCGCTGCGGCCGGCCAGCCTACTAAAACCACGGCATGTACACCCCCCGCCCCCCACGATGACCTTCTATTTTTCGCCGGCAGCCTTTCTCCCCGCGAGTAACAAGGCGACAGGCCAAATCAAAACCACACAGTCTAACATGGTAGCAACAACAATGACGACGAGCGCTCGATATTAAAATGCGAGGCCGCTGCCTGCAGCCTTGTCCATCTCGGCCTGCAGCTTGCCCGCTTCTCGCGCTGCGTCCTCGAAGTCTTGCGAGTTCGGGATGACGGCGCAGATGCTCGTGTACCGGACGAAGGAGAACTTCTTCCCGGCGAACTCGTCGTCTCTTGGGCCTGGACAAGTAATAAAAAGTGCATAGTTGTTGACGTGGGCAGCCGCGGAGGAGAATCAAGCGCCCAAAACGAATCGTTTGTCAAAAGCAATATCGTAACACTTACATCAGCGGCTGTACGCACGCGCGGTCCGTAGTTTTCCGCTCTACGTGTGGTGAGACGTCGAGTGTGAGTCGCACAAAGGAGTGGGGATCTTTGGTGAAAGTGTGGTGAGAGGACCACGTGTGAGATGCATGCCATCCGTTGTTGGAACCAGACTTGCAGTTGGGGCCTCAAGAAAAAGCGAGCGAGGTAGACTCAAAAAGAAGCGTGCATACTAGGGACACCTACCTGGGACTCCCTATCTACTTCTATGTATTCGTTGATCTTTTCCTTCGTCTCTTTTCTGATTTTTCTTTACAATTACAAGGTTTGAAGACCTTATCAGGGGATCTCGTGCATGTGTGTTTCTTGTTTGGGGTTCTTGAAATGTTTTGCTGCAAGTTTTTCTCTTCCTCTCTGGAGAAGGAAGCAGCGCTTGCTTTGTTGTCGTCTCCTGTCTGCTGCTCCGTGGAAAGAAGCATGACACGAATATACTGCTGCAGGACCAACTCACCAATCCCGTAGGGATCCTTCACGAAGACGAGGTCGCCCGGCTTAACGGCATCGTTCGGCGTAACGTGGCCGCTTTCCCCTTCGCGGCCATTGCCGACGGAGACGACCTGCGATGCAAGCGTTGGCGAACGACAACGTCATAAAGCGTTGGGGGGTCACAAACGAGGGGGGTCAGAGTCGGGGTCACACACAACAGTGCGGGCAATAGATGTGCCGGGCGGGTGTCCGGGGTACGGGCGGCCGAGACCGCTTTGCACAAAAATCAAATTGTTCGGATTCGAATAGAATAGGCAAATCGGCCCACTGTAGCACACAAAACACGCTTTAGAGGGGCCCCGACCGCAGCAGTGGCGTTGAACACGGCAAGTGGGGCGGCCTTTTTTCGAGGAAAAGACGGAAGGAACAAGACATTGACGCGCAATGTGCACCGTTAATACATGGGGGCCACACGCTCCACAAAAGAAAGGTGAGCGTCGCGCCCGACGCAACATCTCCCATCCTCCCCACAAGCATCATCACTAGACACCGATCGCTTCACACCGTGGGGAGCGGCAACGATGGTTACAACCAAACGAAGAGGAGCGGCGAACGACAGACTGGCGTGTGATCGGCTAGAGGGATGCAGGTCGTTGTCAGCAATAGACTCCCATGGGAAATTTTCTTCGATGGCGCTCACATGGTGCACATTGCTCACCTTCACCTTGACTGGCCCTGACTATATATTGATGACAACTCAAAACACGAATGACTCCGGTCTGTTGCCCAAGTGCGAAAAAAGAAACTGTCATCACTGCACTGTCCAAGCGATGGGGTGCATCTGACACGATCGTGACTGTCGGCGGCGATGTACCGTATCAGAATCGTTCATGTGACGATCTTCCTCGATGCACAAGACCCCATTTTCCATCTTTTTCTCAAGAGAAAACGACAAAACCCCATCCCGTCGAGATTGTCGTAGTATTATACTTCGAAGTACCATGTCGCGTACCTTACAGACGTGCATCCTGGGGTTAGCCTTGGCCGGCAGGAAAAGTCCAGAGGTCATCTGCTGCTCCTCCGGCAGTCGCTCCACGTACACCATGTCGTACAACGCCTTCTGCCGCTTGGCCTGCAACCGGAAACAAAGACAACACGGAGAAACAAAAGCAAAAAGGGGGCGTCGGTCTTATCGCCTCTTTTGTGTGGCACCACCAGAGGATACATCACGCCGTCTGCGCTATACATGAAACGACACCTGTAAGAAACATGGAGAGGATTGGTCACGCCGTCTGTGGCATAACGCCATCTTGACACTCGATGCACTCTTACTCTCAGTAGAACGTGGTACCCTATGTTGCCGCCCGTCAACCAAAACCATGCATTTAAGGAGGGGGGGGGCAGCCCGACGCACGTCACGGAAGCCGAAAAAACGGGGGGATCAGGGCTGTCCTCAAGTACACAACACAACGCGCACGCCCCAAAAGGAGAAAACAATGCGAAAAGGTACACCCGTCATTGTAGCACGTCAAGAGGGCTTGGGGGCTCGGATAGGAGCGAAAGACGTTTGCTTTGAGCTAGTTCTTCACTGTCAAGTCAGATGAACTATGCTTTGTTGATCGTCACGGCCCACAATCAACACGCGCGTTCCACGTACGAAGGGTTGTTTGGCTAACAGTGTGCACCACATGGAATCAAGCAATCCAGGAGTGGATGGCGGCAGGCTTTCAGCCTTCATCTACATTACTTCGAAGTACAATACATTGTACAACACCCGGAGAACCCCAAGTCGTGGCAGCGAGAGGCCGAGACGCCGTGTGTCGGCCACCACAACAGCAATAAAGAACAATAATCAGGTTTTGACAAGGTCGGTTCAAACCGTACAAATTGGTGGAAAGCGCTTGTGACGCTACCAGTGCCATGGTGTGATGGTTCCACGGAGCAGTTATCGTAGTGTGATCGTAGGGGCTCGGATAGGAGCGAAAGACATTTGCTTTAAGCTAGTTCTTCACTGAAAAATCAGATGAACTATGCATTTTGCATCGTCATGGCCCCACCGAAGGTTGAGCCGCGAGCTTCAACGGGGTAGTCTATGCATACACAACTGCTGTGCGCCCCATGCTTTCGTTATCCCATATTCGCATGCTTCAGCGATATTACAGCTTTACTGAACGAATCAAGGGTTGGTGTGAGGGTGTTGTTCGATTATCGGGGCTCGGATAGGAGCGAAAGACATTTGCTTGTGAGCTAGTTCTTCACTGAAAAGTGAGATGAACTATGCTTTGTTGATCGTCACGGCCCACCTGCAAAAAGTACAACTCCCTCTCATACTGCCTCAAGTTTACATCCGCTGCGATATGCTCCTAGTTGGAAGGGAAGGCACCGTTGTGTTTTTCGTCTTGGTGTGCTGTCACTGTAGCATACCAACAGCAAAACGAGGCGTATTTTATTGCACAAGCCTTTCCTATGCATCACTTGACAATATGAAACTCAGAAACGGGGTGTCACGCCATCCTCTCCGACAAACAGATGCGGCACACACACACACACATAAACGCGCGTTGGGGAGCGGTGCCTCGTCACAACAGTTTGGTACATACAATAGGTGAAAACAGACCCTAAAATGGTGGGTCAGGAAGAGAAACCAATTCCGTTTGATAACGGATCAACCCTATTGAATCGAGACACCAGGGGAGACAAGCGGCGACACGGCTGCTGCTGAGGGTACTATTCAACAGTCAGCAATTGCAAGTACCACGCGTGTCACTCCAGGCAACGTGGAAAGGCTCCGATGTAAAGTAAGATGGTGCAAGTTGTCTCCACTCAAAAATCAGATGAACTATGCATTTTGTGTTTCGTCATCGCCTTCCTTACTATCCTACCACACACCCTACTGTTACAAAAGCTTCCGGCCGGAATACTGCGCTCCGTAAACCATGTCCCTGTCAAAAGGATGTGGCAGGTAGGCAACATACATGTATGCTGCACGACGACAAACTCACGAAGAAATAGGTAAGTGCTTCCCAGCGCTTTTCTACCTGCCTACCCCTACCGTGAACTACCGATGCACGCGCGCCCGAACAGGCCACTCAAGACCACACGCCTACGCACACATCCACTCGACCGAATGGTCGTGCAGTTTACAACACAACCCACACCGTAGCGCAGCTGACATGCGAAGCGCTTTCAGCACGAAGCTCTCAGCCTAGTATATATATAATATATACAGTCTCAACACAAAACTATTATACGAGTAAATACAAGAAACACAAGAGTCACCATAGCCCTCGGGGGGTTCCAAACCCCCTAACTCCGCCATCCCCCCCCCCTTCCCCCGGCTGAAGACTAAGGAACACACACTCGCGCGGCAAGTAGTGTAGTACACACAAAGAACACACCTTAAGGCTCAGCTCGGGTGCGGAGTGCTCTCAGCACGAAGCTGTCAGAAGTCTAACATGTTTCGTGTAAATAGCATCAGCGCCTTAGGGGTGTTCCAACGGAGAGTGTGCACCCATGCCGGGAGCAAGCAGGGAGGGGATTGTCCCTAACCTGACGGGGAACCGCCAGAAAGACTATTATTATAGAATGATTGCACCCACTGCAAGAGGAATCGTATATTGGTTGGTCTTGTAAACTTCTAGCCTGAAGGGCAACAAGATACAAATCCCTGAAACGTAAACCCAGAAGCTCAGCTCGGAAGCGGAACGCTCTCAGCACGAAGCTGTCAGCAGTCTAACATGTTTCGTAAAAATCGCATCAGCGCCTCAGGTGTTCCCGTGAAGGCAAGCTAAGAGAGATTAGCAGCACTGCTCTGCAGACCTATAACCATCCTGTAGGCGGCGGGGTGGTATCGGTAGAAACGGGGCCATGTTCGAGCCAGCATCTATTTACCGTTTATCCCGCATCGCGCACCAGGAGGTACGTTGTCCCCAACGGGACGACTACACCAGCACGCGCTGGTTTCGATAAAAGCCGAGACTGATCGCGTTCTTGCCGCCTCAAAAAGGGGACATCTGATTGGAACGCGAATGCGCAGACCACGCGCGGTGGGTGGCTCTCGGTGGCAGAGGTAGTTTTTTTTTGTTCTCCCATGATGGGACTCTGTCGTCTGCCATCCTGGCCCCCATCCTCCACTTCTACTAGCTCGACGACCCAACCGGGGTCACATAGAAGGGGGGAGTTGGACCCCCTCCTGCGGTAGTGTAGTCCAGTGATGTTGCATGTGTATTGCACAAGTAGGTCGAACGCGAAATCGCGTACGTATACCTATGAGGGTGCGTGAGGGTGCGTGGATGTACGGGGCTGTCCGACCCGTCCAAGCTGTGCCCCTGTGTGGTGCGGTTTCCCCGAACAGACGAGAGTCGCTCGTACGTAGTTGGGGGGTTCAAGACACGGCGAAGGAGAGGCTCCGATAGAGTAAAGATGGTAGCAAAGTTTCTTCACTGACAGTCAGATGAACTATGCATTATATTGTGTATCGTCACTGCCTCAGGCCGCGCTGTAGGTTTTGGGGTGTGGGAAAGCGGGGGAGATCTTCCCGTGGAAGTCAGTCGCAACGACTCTGAGCAGAGGGTGGGTCCGACGTATTGTTTTTGGACTCGAACATCGAACATCGAACAAGCGGCGTAATCATGTGATTGGCCAGGAAAGTCCAACAGCCCAAAGAGATGTTAGGGTTTTCGAGTTTTTTTACGCCGGATCTTCCAGGGGCGATTCCGCCTAAAACTCTCAACATCTTTCCACAAAAAGTCGAAAACCTATACCTAACCTACAGTCCTCTGGACTGTTGGGACCGAACTGCCGACAAAAAAGAAAATTGCACGCATGCATCACGCACGTGCACACAACACACACCACCAAAAAACACAATCCTGGGGAGAGGGAGAGCGACAGAGAGGTCTGCAGGACAGCAGCAGCAATACCCATGTCTGCACAGAGCGACGACGAGTTTGCGCTGGAGCCCAGGGCCCCGCCAGCAAAAACAGCAACGGGGTGATAGTAGCTAGCGCTCGAAGCCGCGGAGTGGAACCCCGGCATCTCTTGCGCGCACAGCAGATGACGACAACCCGACTCACAGACTGCTGCCACAGCTCCGCTGACTCTTGCTCCTCGTCACATGGGTCTATGCCTACAGACAGCACACAGCGCACAGCCACCACCAGCCCATTCCCCATCGCATCTTTCCGGGGCGATGAAGGCCCGCTGCTGCTGTTGTGTGTGGTGTGTGATGAACGCAGCTGCATCAACAGGTCTGTCAACCCCGCGGGCTGTTGGAGCAAAAACGTGTGTGTGTGGTATTTTTTTTCACGCTTGTTTGCAAATTTCAATGGACCCAAAAGTCGAACATCGAACTATCCGCTTGTTCCATGTTCGATGTTCGACTTTTTGGAAAAATACGTAGTACCCCACCCAGAGCGCCCACCACCGGGAGAAAAAATCGTAGACTGGCGCGTTGCTCAGTACGTATATCGGTTTGGAGCAAGTTCGAGTTGCACCGTGACTCGCTTCGTATGCACTCCCCGGCGTTTTGGGCGAGGTGCAGTGTACGGTCACAGCAGCAGTGCGGGTAGACTCGCAGGTGCTCACAAAAAGGCACTTCATGCTAAGGCAATCTGAGGTTACACAACTTAAAGACCTTATTCGCCCTCTTCGCGAGACTATACGAAAAAACCGCACTCGATTTCCTGTCCCTGCTCACCTGCGTCGGCAGTTCCGCCGCGGCTGACATACGCACGCTTGTTCGGCTCGCTCTTACATCAGACGCTTTCGACGATGTCAAGTGACATGGCAACGAGGCTGGGAGGAACGCTTGCGCACAGACCGCCCCCCCGACCACCAACGCAGCTGCACACTTCATGGCTGATCACAACCTACTGCGGGAGCTGTGTGCACAAGAGAGAGCGCGGGAACAATTGTGCATACGCAGAGGCGACACAGCAAGGACAGGTGTGAGATCAGAGGGAACAGCAAACGATAGTGGCCCAACGCAACACTTGTCCCACATACAGCAGCTGCAGGTGTGCGGTCAATCTTCGCGCTGCTCGATCGGTAGTGTTGTACCCTGCACAACAAGCCTCACGCTTGTGGTGTTGAACGACAAAGGCGGCAGGGGAGCCACCACTCGCTACTGGTGGCTGGGAGATTACGTGTAAATGACAGGACACCATCGTGCGAAAGCAACTACGCATCGATTGATGCCAGCCATTGCCAGCCGCGCTTCGCTCGCGGCGCATTCTATGGAGCAGCAGGAAGCATGATTGTCTCTGAACATCATGGTCACCGGGGCGCCTCACGTTTGGGGCATAAACAATCCTCCTGTGAAGAAAACAACAACTCCTCCAGGCGTGTGATTTTGCGCCGCCTGATCTACCACCGCTAGGCACGGCCACGCTTTCGTCGTGGAACAGGAGGCAATGCGCTTGTCCGGTTGGTATATGCAAAAGACGAGGCGCTCACCTTGACCCCTCACAAACGCTGGCTGTGACTTAGACCTACGCACCACACTCTCACACGCTCACACCCTCATTTGGAGGCCCCACGAATGATAGCATGCACCCATGTACGCACCCCAGGTTCACATGTCGGTTCGGATAGAGATGCAGGGAGATCTCCGAACACGGGCAGCTACGCAGCTACAGGTTGGTGATCTCCGTGGTGCGTATCCTCCTTGTTGGATTATCCCTACAACCTCTACCGCTGCTGTGGAGAAACATTGGGCACTAGACTACGCTGACCTGCTGATATGCCTGAAGGTGGGCGTCATATCCCCATATCCTCCGATATCGTGTTGAGACAAACCCGGCATGTCGTTCGTATCTTTGCGGCACGATGCTACACCGCTCTTGGCACGGTGCCACACCGAACATGTGGTACGATGCCACACCGAGCATGGGAGTGGTGTTTGTTGTATCCCATATTCGTCAGGGAATCTAGATAGTTGTGCTTCCAGCTAAATGGCAGGTACGCCTTTTCAACGTACGCATTTGTAGCACAGGAAAAGGCTAAGACTAGTACCAGTCATGCGAGCGATTCATTTCTTCTGGGGAAACAAACGATCGATGTGTAGGGAATCAATTAACCAAGCTCTCACCTCTACTTGGGGGTGGAATGGTTTAGGTGTGGTTGCCAATGGTTGAGATATAGGGGTAGAAACCCTCAGCATGTCTATCTGTATGTCTCCCTTCAAAGCGGACAAGTAAAGCCTTTCAGACACAAGATAGAAATTTGTGCCTGTGCAGGCGAATCTGCGACGGTGGGGGGGGGGGGGCTGGG